CAGCGGGGCGTGCACAGCCCCGGGGGGCCCTGCTCCGCACGGCCAGCAAGACTCGCAGCCGTTGGCCCCCACTGCACGTGCAGGCGCAGGTCGTCGCCGCAACTGTCGCCGGGCAGGAAGGTGGCGCCGGCCGCGGTGAGGGCCCCGCTGCCCCCGCGCAGGAAAGGGGTGAAGATTCCCCCGTGGCACAGCACCAGGACGGGGCTGCGGCTCAGGATGACCCCGCTGCAGCTCCACAAACCCGCCTCGGGTTGCTCGGCCCGGGAGGCGCTCACCACGCAGCCCGCCTGCTCGGCCGCCCTCATGGAGGGGCCCCACTGCCGCCCCATGGCCTCGGGAACCGGACAGCTAGGGCTTGCGGGAGGACGAGCGAGCGAGCCGGGACCCTCGAGGGGCTGGCGACCCTGCGCAGAGTCAACCACAGCTGGAATGCGAGAGGCGCAAGTACTGACTCCCGGCTTCCTCGTCGAGCCCGATTGGCTAACTCCATTAGCTCCCACTCGATTGGCTGGGCATGGCGCCGAACTCTGATTGGCTACTAATGCCGATCCTCCTGTCCCCGCCCTCCTTGGTCTGTTAAACCTGTGGGACTTCAGAAGCAACTGTCCCCTAGGACGAGCCCTGGGAGAGTGACAGGCGTGCGGCGTCAAGAGACTGAATGAGATGGGAGGAAAGGAAGGCGGGTCCCGTCAGCCCAGCCTCTTGTTTGCAGGCGTAGGGAACAGCATTGAGCGCTGACGTGGCTAAATGTGCCCAGGAGCGGTCAGCCTCGGCACAAGGGTAGGACCTTTATCCTCAGATCCCGGGCTAATATGGACCAGGGAATAGCCGGTACGTTGAAATTTTGAAAACAAATCCTACAGCGGTCCACTAGGGGGCATGAGACTCACGATATTACTTTTAGAGCCCTTTGTTGCCAAAGCCCCAACAGGACAGGTCTCAGGGAAAGTGGGTGTGCTCTAAATTAACTGTGCTTTAACTGACTATGACAAACAGTTCCAAAAGCAAAACAGAACAAAAAAAGAATTATACAACCCTATAGTTTAGTGCATATTTCACATAATGACATAATCACCACTCAAGATTTATGTAGGTCAGAAGCCAAACCCTTTTTCTCTAAAAGTCCAGAATGGAAATAGTTCAAATTTTTGCAGGCCATTAATCCTGTCTCAAAGTATTCAACTCTGCAGTTCTAGCACATAAAAGCCAAAGGAATGATGGTGGCTGTAGTCAAGAAAATTTTATAAATTAGAATTTCATTTAATTTTCATGTGTCATAAAATAGCATCTTTTTTTCAATCATTTAAAAGTGTGAAAACCATTTTAAACTCATAGGACAGCACATGGCTAGCAGTACAGCTTTGCTCCACAAACTACAATGCTGCATCTCTAATTTAGGCTAAAATAAAACTTTCCTACTTTTGGAAAGAAGTACCCTTGCGGACAGGTGAACAGGTGAACTTCGTAATAGCCCTAGATCGGTTACCACAGGTGAGACATTTTATGAAGGTCTGCTCTTCTGTATCAATAAAATGCATGTTCATTTTTAGTTACTAGTACATGTCTGTCAGCATTAATGAAAAAATATTCAGTTGTTAAGTGACAAAGTTTTTGCATGGATTCTTTGAATAAAATGAATGCTATAAAAGCCGGGTATGGTGACACACACATGTAATACCAGCACTCAGAAAGGTGAGGAAGGAGGATCATTGCGAGTTCAAAACCAGCCTGGGGTACAAAGTGAGCTCAAGGCCAGCCTGAACTGCATAGCAAGACCCTGTCTCAAAAAGACAAAAAACAAAAAGAGTGCTGTTTGAGAAAGAGAAAATATGTTTTCAGGGCTAAAACTGAGCTGTCTTCCTGTACTGGGCACTGTCCTCTTTTGGCTTTGTGATATAGGAGATAGCTTGATCCCAGCTTGGTCTCTTACCTACATCAACTTCCTAGCAATTAAGACTTTCCTTCTCTCTAGAGTCCAGTGATTCTTTTACTGACCCTCAGGCCTCTAGTGTGCCCTGTTAGGTGTCAAGTTTTTCTGTGTTAATGGCAAACCACAGTAGAGAGAAGTCCCAAGTGATAGCCAGTAGCAGCCAGGACTCACTAAGTGCAAGGCCCACTGACTCAGCCTCTGATCCTCACATTCCACTTGGCCTCAAACAAAAAAAACCCCATTTACCCATGGAACCCACTGCCTCCTGTCAGAGCAACAGGGACAGGACACCTTAACCGACTTAATCTTTAGTTGTAGAGAATTTACTGCAATGCTTCCCAGGCTACTTGTCCTAATAGTTCAGTTCTGGAATCTCATTGAGGTTTTCCAGTTGGGTGTGGTGAAGCATACCTATAATCCCAGCACTCAGGATGCTGAGGCAGGAAGATCTGGATTCTGAAGCCAGCCTGAGCTACAAGTTCAAGACCAGCATAGCACAAACTACATGGCAAAAAAATAAAAATGAAAGTAAAATAAAGCAAGGCTTTGCACATGCCTATTAAATGCACATGCATAGACTCCCTCTCATTTTTGCCAGGTGTAGTATTCAGTTCTCTCCTATATTGACGAAAATGCTGAATGAAGCACAGCTAGAGACTCTGCTCACCAGCACATTAAGAAAAGATTTTGCTCAAGCATCTGCCATCCCATCGTGCTGCAGACGACCAACAGCTCTGGGTTCACAGGCTATTCCAAGGTTTTCAGACAGCACTGATTTTACTACTGCTGTTGGCCTGGTGTATTTTTCCAGCAAAATTGCAGTCTCTCATATCCACCCACCCTACACGTTTATTCCTATAGGTAGGGAAGAACACTGTTTTTTCTCCCCCAAACAAAACATGCTGTATGCTCAAACAGAACAAATCCATGGCAAAAAGAGCAAGAAATAGGACATTGGTTTTTAAGTTTTTATTAAAATGCTTAGAATACAGACTGACTTTCTTTTGTAAATGACTGTTTTACTTTTCCTGAAGTAGGATGTATGCGCACTCTGATAAAACAGAATGAGAAGTCTCAATTCATGGGAGCTCCTGTCCAAGGCTGTGCTCCTCTGCCTGGAGCTAAGCTCCTCCTCGCAGCCTCTTCCAGCTTCCTTAGGTACCAGCAGTGTTCTGTGGGGAAAAGACAGGCTGGTGCAACCTGACTTTTCTATCCCCTTTCTCCGGTGGCCAATATAAACCACTTTCATAAAAAGCTGCCCTACTTAGAGCCCACAGTTTTCTAGCTTGTTACAAAGTGATTAGGGGCAGGTAGAAAAAAAATAAAGTAAGAAAAGTAACACTGAAGCAATCTCTCATGTCCCTAGACAGAGACTATGGGCAACCTTTAGCCAAAAGAAAGAAAAAATATGCAAGTTAACTCCTAGTTCATCCACTGTTAGCTAGATTTGTTCACTTAAGGCTTTATTCCTTTCCAAGACAGCAGTCTCGTCCTAATCTGCCTGTGCGTGCTACCAATGCAACGCACGCCCTTCCCAGGCTCGAACTTCAACCAGCCTCTTTGTTATGGACTTGAAGCCAAAAAGAGGGCTTTCCCAACAGTCAGTACTAAAGACCAAGAATGATAGATCCAACCTGGGCTATGCTATCCACAGTCCCTACCCTCCCATTGGAAGCAGGAATCCTGAACTGAGTTCACTTCTCTGCCAAAAAGCATCATCTCAATTTTCAATTTCGAGGAAACTATCTCTAACTTTTTATTAAAGGGAAACCCAATAGATATTTCCCATCTTAAACCATCTCCTAGCCTTTTATCTTTCCTACCAGGGTACAGTATCGGTTAAGACTATAAATATCCAATTTCACAAGTGGCACTAAGAAAATGGAATGCTAGAAAAATAAAGCTTGTGGCCCTCACCGGGCCGCTGCTTTTGAACTGGGTAATCTCTGATGTCAGGGATGCGGCCTCCAAGGGAAGAGCTGTGCAGCAGGCCCTTGCACTAGTGTTTTCCCTCGCTTATTTCTGCAACAGGCAAATCCATTTCATACCAGGTAGAAAAAATCTGGAAAAGCTACACATGTTGACCTTTACTTTAAACACCAGCAAAATAGATAACCAGTAAGGAGAAAAAGATGTAAGAAAAAGACAGAGCCGATGAAGAGCCCGAGAGAGAAATCAATTCTGCAAGTAGAATTTGAAAGCCCACTAAAAGTATCTTTCCTAGTTTCTAAGTGCCAAACCACCAGATGTTTACATCCTCATGAACCCTCTAAGCTAATAGCTCTGTCTTGTGCCATCCTATTCAGAACACACCCCCATCCATACGATGCCAAATGAGGCACACCTGCGGCATATGACTGCATGACAGATGTCCTCAACTCCAAGTCACCTTTTATTAACTGAAAATGAGAAAGGAAGGTGCTAGCAAGAAAAATGAAATTTCACCAATACAAAAGCAAAGACCGACTGAAATCTGTAACTTTATAAGCAAAAATAATATAACAGTAACCCCTTTATAATTAACTCCTCCACAGTGAACCAACTGCTACTCACTCCGTGATGAGGAACAACTCCAGCTGACCATAGTGGGTACCTGCCACGATCACGAGGCCAGGGCTCTGTGCTCTCCCTAGCTCTCCATGCCACGCTGATGCCACCTCCTACAAGGCAGTTACGAAGAAGAGGAGCTCAGGAGAGCTTTTCTCACCGCCCGCTAACTCAGCAGGAGAAAGTTCACCCCTCTGAGCTCTGGCCTCCAATGTGCATCTGTTCATAATTTCATGAAATATCTAAATGCCATTCACTAGTTAAAAAAAAAAAGAATAGAAAACTCTGGACCAAGTAAATTGAAACTCAAAAGTTGGGAGGGATACCAATTACATTAACAATGCTTTCTTTAAAAAATAGAATCACTTTCTTTTGAAGTCAACCACAGTGGTGAGACGTGTTTTTCTTCTGAGGTGTCCCATGATGGCACACAGCTTTTCCTGGCAAATCCTGCCAGCTTCCGAGTCCCAGGACACTGACCTGCACCAGCACTTGGGGCAGTGTTACCTCCCAACAGTGTGGAGAAGAGCACATGTCACCACTGGGCGATGAGAGTTGACAGAGACTCTTGGCTTCTCAACGCCAGACATGGTTGGAGAGCTTTCCTTGTTCTATTAGAAAAGTTCATGAGGAAGCTGTGAATAGGATCAGTCCAGAGGAGTAAAACTCTTTTATTTTCACCGTCCCAACATCAGTCAATGTACTGGGAGAGCCAGCGGAAACCCTCGCCGTAGCCTTGCCTCTTGAGCACGCTGCACATGAACACTTCCATGGGGCGGGCGTTCAGCTCCTTCAGAGTCACATTCCCCTGCAGAGGCAAAACCAAGAACGCCCATTAGCATCTCCGGAGCAGAAAAGCTTCAAAGGACGATCACTTGCACAGCAAATGAAATCACCAACAGAGTGAAGAGACAACCCACAGAACAGGAAAATTTTTACCAGCTACTCCTCAGACAAAAGCCTAATACCTACACTATATAAAGAACTCAAAACAAAAATCAGGGTCCCTAAATTTAAAGACCCAATCCAAAAATGGATATCTGAAATGCAGATACTTCTCAGATGAAGTACAAACAGCAAATATATGAAAAGATGTTCAACATCACTGATCACTCATGAAATGAAAATTAAAACAACACCGAGACTGCATTTCCAGAAAGAACGGCTATCATCAAGAAATTAAGCACTAACAAATGCCGGTGAGGTTGTGGGGAAAAAAAGAACCCTTCTCCATTGCTGGTGGGAGTGTAAATTGGTACAACCACTGTGGAAATCAGTATGGAAATTTCTCAAAACACTGAAACTAGAGGTTCCATTTGACCCAGCTATTCCTCTTGTAGGTATCTTCCTGAAAGAGTTAAAAGCAACATGCCACAGTGATTGATACATGAACACTCATGTTTATGGTAGCACAATTTATAACAGCTAAATCTTAGAAACAGCCCATATGCACATCAACAAATGAGTGGAAAAAGAATATGTGGTTTGGTACAATGGATATTTCGTATCCATTGCCAAAAGGATAAACTTGTATGCCTGGCCATAAAGGATAAACTTGAAACATTTTTAGGTAAACAGATGCACCTCAAGACCATAATTTTAAGTGAAATAAATCAAACACACAAGTTTAAATATAGCACTATTTCTTTTGTGTGAGAAACCCAAAGGGTACATAAGGAGCAAAATGGAAGACAAATATAAGTAGGAAGAACATGTGCAAATGGGAAGGGGAACAAGGGAAGGTGAGTGATCAATAAGTGATTGCTCTTTTTTATAACCTGAAATCTCCAGTCAACAAAACCTGATTTCCAGCTAAGTACTATGCTTTCAAAACAATTTTTCAAAATCAGATCTGAAAAAAATGATGACGCACGCCTGTAATCCTAGTACTCAAGAGGCTGAGGCAGGAGAATCATAGAGAGTTGGAGACCAGCCTGGGCTACATAGTTAGTTCCAGGCCAGCCTGAACTATGTAGCAAAACCCTATCTAAAAAACACCAAAACAAAAATGAAATAAAATAAATAAAAAACACCAAAACAAAAAATTTAAATGAATAATAATAAATAAAATCTCATTTTTATTGCATTATATATTTTCTTTACTTATATTCAAAGACTTGAGAGATTATTATGGGCCTGTTCCCTGAATACATCAACTCCTGAACCTCAAAGACCTGGCACTAGTAGAATAAACTAAGTTAATGAATTCACCCCTCAACCACTTTTCCCTGATGTCGATCCATGGTATTTCTTTCTTCCTGGGCCCTGATTGGCCTCAGTCTCTCAGTCAGTCTCTCCTCTGGCCCAGCAACTCCTCCCTCTTGCCCCTTATTCTCTTGACCTCCAACTCCTTTCCCTCTGTCCCTCTGCTCCAGCTCAAATTTGATCATGAGTAGGGTTGGTCATAGTCCTCAATATGTCCTTCAAGGTTCCTCTTCTTCCTTCCCCTCACCCTACCCTCACTTCAGACCCATCCAAAAGAGAAAAAAAAAAACTTTTTTTTTTGTTCTTTGGGTTCTTTTTTTCATTTTTTTGAGACAGACTCTAACTATGTAGCCCAGACTGCCTCAAACTCACAGCAATCCTCTTGCCCCAGCCTCCTCAGTGCTGAGATACAGGCTTGCACCACCATGCCCAGCTAGGAAAAAAAACTCACAAATGAGTAAGATCCCATACCAAGAGTCTTTCCTACTTCATAGGCTGAGGCAAGGAGATCCTCAGTTCAAGGTCAGCCTGGGCAACTTTGAGACCTTATCTCAAAATGAAATAAGAAATGTTAGAGATATAGCTCAGTGGTACAGCATTTGCCTGGTATATGCAAGGCCCTGGGTTTAATCCCCAGTACTACAAATTAAAAAAAAAGAAAAAGACTGCCTGGCAAGCGCAAGGTCGTGAGTTCAGTTCCCTGTACCGGAGAAAAACCAAAACCAAAAAAAAAGAAAAAGAAAAAGAAAAAACATGTTCCTGCCTTCAGTGAGTTTATAAAATACCTACACTAAACTAAATCCTAAGCCTCTTCTAATTTTTGAAAAAAAAAAAAAAAAAAAAAGGAAAATCTGACAGCCAAACATTGGTGTTAAATGTTGTGAATGTCCTTTTATTCTTCTTGAAGCCATTTCTCTTACCTTTCCTGTGGTCTGTCCATAAAGCCCAAATATCTCACGAAGTTTTTCTTCACTGATTGCATCTGTTCTGTCGATTTTGTTTCCCAAGATAAGGATTGGCACATTGGATATTGTTTCATCAGTCATTAACCCCTGCAGATAGGATGAAAAGAAGCTAAGCGAGAGGCCTATGAGAGCCACCAGATAATGACCATTTTAGCTTCTATTGGTCTCATAACACACATGCAGTGTGAAAGTCTGACCATCTCTGTACCCGATTCAAGGTTCATCTTGACATTAGGTAAAGACCTCCGAGTGCCTCTTAAGGATGCAAATTGCAACTTAAGGATGCCTATGCACAGGCAGCCAGACTGGCCAAGCTCAACTCTGAGCCAGTCTGCGCAGCCACAAATCATCCTCAGAACACCTGCTTGGCACAACTGTGGGGACAGTGCTCCAGCTGAAGAGCCTTGCTGACAACTACAGGACCCCTCCGAGTGCCTGCTGCACACTCAGTGAGGGCAAAGCCCTTGCAGGACCTTGGAGGAGCACAGAATGGGTAAGAGACACCTCCTCCTCAATGTTCCTATTTATGATAACAAAGCTAGGTGAGAAGACAATGTGGTAGATGATTGAGGGTCACAATGCAGGGGAACAGAATATTACTAAAACAAGTTCCAGAAAATAAAATGACAATTTGGGCTGGAGGAAAATCTTAGCAAAGACAGAGAATCAAAACTGCGCTCTAAAGGAAAGACAGGACTTAGATAAGTGAAAAAGAGAAAAACACAAACAATGGCTTGCCCCGGAGGGTAAGAGTTCAGGAAAGCACATGGCCTACGGCATGCCTTGATCAAAGCACTGATACTGAGGGGAAGTGACACAGTGTATGGGATAGGAAGAGATAACCCACATGACAGTGCAAGTCTGAAAAGTTAGCTACACCGATCCTACAGACCACAAATCCTCAAGTCAGAGAATAAAGCCTGTACTTCCAAGCTGGGCGTGGTAGCCTGTAATCCCAGCACTTGGGAGGGTGAGGCAGGAGGATCATTTCGGTTCAAGGCAGCCTATGCTGCTTAGTTTAAGGCCAGCCTGAACTAAGTAGAGAGATCCTGTCTCAACAAAAAGAGGGGATGGTCCATAATGTAGCAGCGTTCAGTAAATAGTGCAGAAGGCATTATAGAGAAGGAAGTAAAATGAATAATACGAACATCTAAAGTTAGATAAAACAAACCAAATAAATCAAAAAGGGCCTAGATTTCAGTCCTGGGCATCTAATTCTCACTGACAGAAAACTAAGAAGGAAAGCAGAATTGAAGGGACCAAGAACATGATTTGACCATCTTCAATTCCAGGAAATGTTAGACAAAATCAGTGTAAGGATGTTATTTATTAAGTACCAACAAAGTGCCAACTATGTATCCAATGCTTTGACACAATGTATCCAATTGACTTACAAACTCAATTCCTTCCCTGAGGGCTGGTGGTAACTTAGGTTGTCAAGTGAATGCTAAGGCCCATCTACAGAGCCTGCAAAGTCTCTCTCCCGCATAGAGGCAGATCTCAGGATCCTTACAGAGATACTGGCCCAAGATTTCTCAACTAACCCCACCAGGAAAGGATGTTGTAATGTCCCTTCCAGAACGTTTGAAGGGTTAAATCTGTATGAAACCATCTGGAAGCACAAGCGGCCAGCATTCAAGTCATAACCCAAGACTTCGGTCTTACGTTAAAACTAAAATTCAAGTCATTACCCAAGACTTCGGTCTTACATTAAAACTAAAATTCCAGTCACAACCCAAGTTGTTTGTATGTCAGGCCAGTTGTAACTTGAGGGTCCACTTGTACAGGGGTTTCACAAAGATACAAGACAAAGTCCCTACTATACAGGTGCATAGTCTGGTGGGAGGGATGGCTAAGAAAATTAACAAAGACAACAGACACTGGTAGGAGGCAGAGGCTAACATAATGCAGTCTGAGAAGTCAGGGATGGTTTTCCACAAGTGATGATACAGCTCTGAGATTTCTTCAAAGACAGTTAAAATTTAACAAAAGGGGTGAGGCAGGCTGGTGGGGAAACCAGGCAGGGAATAGCTACTTGCACACATTCAAAGAAGGACAAGTTGTGCTTTGTGTGGAATGTAATTTAAGGTAGGCAACAAATGCTGGAGAGAAAAAACAAGAGAGACAATCACAAAAGATCATATATGCTAAGCAAAAGATTTACAGTTTTACCTTGAAAATACAGAGAACTATTAAAGAATAATAAGCATGACAATTTTGCCTTTTATGGTGCTTGGCAGAATGGTGGCAGAATCTACAGTAATTCAGATTTCTGGACTGCATGTTCAGGAAGATGACAGGGGAAGATGAACAGTGACACTGTGGTGGACCCAACAGATTCCAAGCTCTTGTGTACAAAAAGTAAAAAACTGCAAAGTGTATGCTTGATGGTGAGGGAAAAGCTGCTCCGTCCACTGCAGGTCACGAACAGAGAAATGGTGCTGGGATGACAGAAAAGACACACTGCACACCATGCAGATGCAGCAAATCAGGCTTCTGGGCCAAAAATGAAAGAGAAAAAAAAGGCAGCATGTGCTTTGTCTGGGGTTATACGGAATGGTCCTAGGGTGGTGCCCAAGCTCTGAGGGCAGGGCAGTGACTTCCCCAGCCCCCTACATTCTATGTTTGCTAGAGTTGTATAGTAGTAGCCTCACACATGAGGCGGGAATTCAGGAGCCTGGTCTAGAGAAATCCATCTGGAGTCACTGCCCCAGGCGTGGAGACGGAACTGGCTTGGGAGGACTTGAAGACCCTGAGGAAGCCCCACGTTTAAGGACTGAGTAGAGGAACAAGCGCTTGTGAAAGAGCTAAGTGTGAGCCGGCCAGAGAGCACCCAAATCGAGAGTGTAAAGGGAGTTGAGGAAAGGGGCAGTGGCCCACGCCAAGGGGAAAGGAAGGAAAGGGCTGCCCTGCTCCTCTGGCAGCTCCACAAGACCATAGCTATGAACTTGAGAAATGTCCTTAGAAACTGTCAAGCCAGAGCAACGCAATGCTGACAAAGCCGAAAACGTAAAGGGAGCCCTTGTCTTGTATCAAACAATGCATGGGACCAAAAACTGAAGCCTAAGAACAGGTTTTAAGTCTGGCCAATCATTCAAGGAGAGGGTGGGGTAGGCACAACCTGGAAAGGTAGACTCAAAAATGTAAAGAACTAAAAAAACTGAGTGTGATAGCACATACCTATGATCCCAGTACCCAGGAAGCTGAGGCAGGAGGATTGCTAGCATGAGCTACTTAGCAAAACCCTGTCTTTAAAAAAAAATCTATAAAGAACTCAAATATCTCTTTTAAGGTCTTACCATGGAGATACCCAACCAAGAAAAGAGTGTATGTAGTATGTACAAGGGAACCCACCAACTATGCTGAGACAATAGGCGTAAACTGAGGAGTATCCTAAGCAAAATGGGACACACAAAATGGGGATAAAAAACCATGAGTTAGTTTATTCAAGTTCAAACTGAGGTTCCTCAGGGCATTGAAAACACTAGATTTAAAAACATTTTCTTCCAAGGGCTTTCTGAGACAGGGTCTTGCTAGGCAGTTCAGGCTGGCTATAAACTCACTATGTAACCCAGGCTGGCCTCAAACTCACAGCAATCCTCCTACCTGAGCCTTCCAGGTGCTGGGATCACAGGTGTGTGCCACCACAGTGCATACTGCCTGGAATGATTAAATATTGGTACTACTGAGCTGTCTTCCTTAAAAGAAACACAGGCCAAGAAAGGAAAAAATATATACATACATTAAGCTCAACTTTGGATTCCATGAGGCGAGAATGATCTGCACAGTCCACCAGGAAGACAATCCCATTAATTGCAGGGAGGTAATTTTTCCAAACCCGACGAGCTAAAACATAAATTTGTATTTGCATCAACAAAAAACATGTACTTTAAAAATGAAAAACCTAATGGTCAATAAAATGGACAAATCTTAGCCAGTTTCAGTAACATTAAGCCCCTATGAATTCTCTATGTCCTGGCAAGTATTGAGTGAGAAGACAGGATGCAAATAACGGTCTATGAGCCAAATCTGATTTTTGTAAATTGCACAGTGAAGTGTTTCTGCTGTCCTTTAAACACCACTGCATCTGGCAATCTGCATGCCAATGATCAGCTAGAACTGAAAGGCGGTGGCCGCCCCCTCTGTCAGCTGAGTTTCACCACTCCCTGGTCTTACATTCCTTTAATTTGCCTCAGGCGACTGGTCTTGTCCTTGACGCCCGGTGTCTGCAACCTGAGTTACAGCACAGGTACACTAATGACTTTACCCGACTAATAACTTTAGTTCCAGATTATTAGTTCCTAACTAGTGAATGTTCGCTCTGCTGCTCACCCCTTGAGGTGGGCTGGGCCTGATAAATAGCTACAGTCTCCAGGCCAGTTACTCAGTCTCCTATATTTAATGACAGTCCCTATAAAAGTATTTTGTTTTGTGACAAGAAGTGATAAAAGTTACAGCAGGTCTGCAATCCCAGCAGTAGGCAAGCTAAGACAGGAGGATCACTAGAAATTCAAGGCCAGCCTAGGCTACACAGTAAGATCCTGTCTCAATACCTAGTGCCCAAAAAAGAAGTGATAAAAGTTGGGAAGTAATACTTTAATTGCATTATAATGTCTTCCTTTTTTTAGTAGTACTGGGGCTGAACTCAAGGGTTTCACACTAGCTACATTCCCAGCCTTATGTAATTTTTTGAATTTCAAGACTCCTGCCTCTGCCTCCCAGAATGCTGAGATTACAGCAGGCATATGCCACACTCCTAGCTTGTCTGCTTTTTGAGACACTATGTAGTTCAAACTGTCCTTGAACTCACTATGCAGCCCAGGGTGGCCTGGAACTCATGCTTCAGCCTCCCTAATGCTAGGATTGTAGGGGTGGGCTATACCCACCTCACTTGTACTGTAATTCTTAAACCAGTTATTTCTAGTCCATGCAATGGAATAAGGAAGCAACTCTATATCAAAGGCAAGTAACAGTTATTTGGTCATTTCTCAAAGTGGGGCAAGGAAGGAGATGCTGGAACTTTCCCTTTTACTTTCCATTTCTATGCTGAGTTTGATATACTGAGCTAGACTGTCTTTATAAGGTAAAAATGTAAAGTTATGCAAATAAAAAGGAAATCTCCAAATATACAATGTTTTACTGTATTAATATCTATAAAATGGTGGCTAGATTAGGAAAAAGTATTTCTACTAAGTAAATTTTCTTCAAACAAAACTATATATATCAACACTTTTTGCTATAACACAATCTGAAAGCTATATTTATCATCCCAAGTAATCTACAATTCCCAGCGCAAGTATCTAAAGATATCTGGTATCTATTCCTTCTGTATTCTCCAGATGGTCTTGGTTCAAAAGTCTTATCTTGCTCTGAATTTAAATTTGTAAGCAGTTACAAAACCATTTTGGAAAAAGCAGAAAAAGATACCTTACCCATTCCTACCCAAATGAATAAAATACAAGTTCATTATGGAAAGAAAGGAAACAAGATAATTCATAATTCTTCCATCAAAACACAACCTCAAACTGGTGTGTATGTACCTGCCTGGGCAATTTAGTGAGACCCTGTCTCAAAACAGAAAAAAATCTTTAAAAGCCTGTGGATGTAGTTCAAATGTGAAGGCCCTGGGTTCAATACCCAGTACTAAAAGAAAGAAAGAAAAAAAAAAGAACCACATGCTCAGAGCAACACAGTGGTTATACACCTGTGATCCCAGTACTTGGGAGGCTGAGGCTGGAAGAATGTGCATTTGAGGTCAGTCTAGACTACATGAGACTCTCACTCAAAAAAACCTCAAAACAGAAAAACCAAAACCCAAAAACCCCACAACTTCAGGGGCTAGAGATGTATTTTGGTGGCAGAGGCCCTGCCTAGCAAAAACACAAGCAAAAGATCCCCATACACCCTTTTGTCTGCGTTTCTTTTTTCTGTCTTTTATGTGATTATCATCATACTACACATACTACATCTATCAGGATACAAATACCAAATGAAATCCAAGCATGCTAATGAAACCATTGACTATATATTATGTTAAACAATTAGTAACTATCAAGATTCTGCTTTTTAATTAAACTTTAAAAAAACTATTAGATTGAGCCTAATAAAATGCTTCTTTTTTGGAACCTAAAAAGTCTCCTTCTAGGAGACTTCTCAACTCATTATCAGCAGAGTAAATCTGAAAGAATTTCAATGGTTTCCTTTTCCTATCTTCCCATTTCCTGTATCGTACATGTTTGCCTCCTCTACCTAGTCTTGCTAAATGTAAACTACGTGTCTGACAAAGATTCTCACTCTGAGGGATGGAATGTAGCTCACTGGTAGGGTGCTTGCCTATTATAGGTGAAGTCCTGGTTCAATCCCTCATACAGGGAAACAAAGATGCCCATTCTGTAAATCTCTAAAATACGTACAAGTCAGGCATGGTGGCACACATCTGTAATCCCAGCATTCAGGAGGCTGAGGCAGGTGGATCACGGTGAGTTTAAGGCCACCCTGGACTATATAGTGAGTTCATACACACTGAGACCCTGTCTCAAAAAAAAAAACTAATTCCTGACGGAAATTTGCAAACCAAACAGACAACCTAAGTAAGGCAAAAGACACAAGAACAAAATAGTAGAAGAAAATGTTCCAACTGCACCAAATGGGCAGAACATACAGAAAATCTATAGAGATTAGAGTGGTCATAGTCAGTATATTATTTTGGCTATCTGTACACTGAGTTACATCCCCACCCTTTTCCATTTTTATTTTGAGACAGGGTCTCTATAAATTGCTGAGTTGCCCAAGGCTGGGCTCAAATTTGCAATCCTCTGGCTTCAGTGCTGGGATTATAGGTATGTGCCATCATACATGGTTACATGAGGAACTTCTGACAAGTTTAAAATTACTTATAAGCAGTAAGTTAATTTCCTACATACTTATACTCCACTGAATAAAGTATACAAAAGCGAAGATAACTGACATGAGTGTGATACTGTACTGCCCTGCTCTAGATGACTAACTGCAAAAAAGGAGATTACTGGGACAAGAGACAGAGGATACATATGAGTATGTAGAACACATTAAAAAAACTTGGATTTAATAACTATTATGATTATAAAAGGGAATATTCTTGTTCTTAAGAAATACACAATAAAGCATTGGGGAAAAAAAGTGCCACTAAATCTATTCAGAGGCTGAGGGAGGAGGATCGCCACTCCAGGCAGGAGTTCGAGGACAGGTGGAGTTACATGGTGAGTTCAAGGCCAACCTGGACTACATAGTGAGATAGTGTCTTGAAAAGCCAAAAACCAAAAAGTAAAAATAAAAAGTTACTCAGAAAAGTAAATATTAATACGTATTTGAGAGAAAGAGAGGTGATACCAGTAATTCTGGACAAAAGATGTAAGTGAATGAAATTTCCTGTATTATTTATACAATTCTGGACAAGTTTGAAATTACTTAAAAATACTAAGTACATAAAACAACTTCTCTGAAGTAGTAAAATCCCAATCTTAAATGCAAATTTTTTTTTGCAATCCAGGGATCGAACTCAGGACCTTGCGCTTGTGAAGCAGGCGCGTATGCCACTGAGCAATATCCCCAGCCCCTACGCAAATAATTTAAAAGGTAAAAATACCCTGCTGACGGGCAGAAGCAAAATGAACCGTAAGTCAAAACTATGCTTCCACTGAGTCGCTCACCTTGTTCATGTCCACCAAGATCAAAAGTGGTAAACGTCATTCCAGCGATTGTCAGCTCTTCTGATGCTGAAAAATTATCAAAAGTAACTTTTTCATTTGAACACCCAACTACCAGTACTGTAAGCCAATACTAGAGTAAAACTTAATGAAGCTTTCACCTTATAAAGGAGATGGGCATGCAAACATTCCCAACCTATTGTAAAGGGCTAGCTTTTCTCTAGGATCTTTTCTGCTTCTTCAATGTAGACACAGGAAAAATATCCCACAACAGACCCACTGAGACAGTGACAAAGCTGCAGAGGGTTAGACCTGCTCATATGTGGCCTGAATATGTTCTATGCTAACTTGGGTAAGCTGGATTCTGGGACTCAGATGATAAAGAACTACGTTAACCGGGTTTACAGTCCAAGCCTGACATTAACCTTTTTTTTTGACATTGACTTTTGATAATTAACAGGTCACTTCAAATTTTCAAACCTACTCGGATGTAGTGTTGGAACATGTTGGCCCAGTCTGTCATCTTTGAGCATGTGAAGAAGAGTGGTTTTGCCTGCATTGTCCAAACCCAAGAACACAAGTTTTCCAGACTTCTTGTAGAGCCCTAAAAGAGAAAACAAGTTTTAATGTAAATTGTTCTCTATATACCCAAGGGCTGCTTGCATTTAAACTATTGGGGGAAATGCACACTTTTAGTGATTTTTTTTTTTTGTCTTTTTTTTAAGACAGTGTCGCACTATGCAGTTCAGGCTGGCCTCAAACTTGTGGTGATCCTCCTGCTTCATCCTTTGTGGAATGCTGGGATTACAGCCACACCCTGACTTAATGCACACAGTTTTAAACCTACAATATATTTCAAGAAAATGGCTTTACCTAGGAACTGGAGCACACTGCTGAAGCCATTGTAGATCCACTCAAAGATGAAAGACATTGTTAATGCTTAGTACCTGCATAGAACAGAAAAACAGCAAACATTAGCCTTCTGAATGCTACTACAGTGCTGGAGAAGTTAACTCTTATTCCATCTCGCTGTACGTGTAATGTCATGTTTTAAATGTCTTTGCCTAAGAATGCAAAGAAGATAAACTAATCTCCCTTGAGACAAGGATTTTGAATCCTACTGTACAAAGTCACGGTTCCCTAATAGTTATAAAGAGCCAGGTGCACTGACACACCTATAATCCTACCTAGTACTTGAAAGCTGAGGCAGGAAAAGCATAAATTCGGGGCCAGCCTAGGCAACTTACCAAGATTTCACTAAAACTAAAATTTAAAAAAGGGATGGAGATGTAACTCAGAGGTAGAGTACCTGCCTACTTCGCTACAGGTAGGCGGCCCTAACCTCGGTTCCCAGTACCACTGCCCCTGCCTCCAAAGCCACAGATGTACTGTGGAGAAAATCAGAGTGAAAGTGTATTAACCTATCCTTGTAAACAGCTCTAAAATAACAGTCACCCAAAGTCCTACTGGCTATCACAATTGTCCCTGTTCCATTTACCAATGTTTTTCTTCTTAAGCAATTATTTGCCTACCCTTTTGCAATTATGTTTCAACTATAAAAAGATCCATGAAGCCAGGCACAGTGATTCATGCTTTTAATTTTGGAGATAGGAAGGAAGATCACAAGTTCAAATCCCACCTGGGAAACTTAGTGAGACTGTCTCAAAACTAAAAATAAAAGGCTGGGGATAGAACTCATTGGTAGAGTTCCCCTGGATTTCACCTCCAGTTCCACAGTCCACCTCCACAATACAGGAACCATGAAGAATTCCAGCACTCTGGGAGGCTGAGGCAGGAGGATCACAAGTTCAAGCCCAGCCTGGGTAACTCAGCACATCCCTGTCTCAAAATAAAAAATTTTAAACACTTTTTAGAAAGGACTGGGCATGTAGCTCAGTGCAAAGGCCCAGCTTCAATCCCTAGTACAGGAAATGGGGGGGGGTGCGCGGAGGAGAGGGAATCCCTTCATAATATAACCAAGTCAAAACCCACTTTACAAATTCTTATTTTCTTAAAATTCATAATATAGCAGTAGGCTCCTAAGCAGGTATTTCAGTTAGTACTGATATTAACACTACTTATTTGTTTTCTATAGACCTAGACAAAACAATCACTTGAAGTTACTAGTAAGTCTACACATATTTGTAAGAGATGGGCTCTCACACTGGTTGGCTTTCAACTTCAGGGCTCAAGACTTCCTCTTGCTTCAGCCTAATTAGCAGGGATTGCAGGTGGATGCCACTGTACCCAGCCCCACTTATATATTCTTCAAATAGCATTAGATGGAAACTGGAAAAAGAGACAGTGTTATGTTTTTTTCCTCTTCATCCAATTAGTGGGTTTTTACTATAAAGCAGGACCTGCAAACTTTAGGACCTGCTTACTGCTTAGGGTTCAAAGCTCGTACCATACAGCAGTGATGGCAAATCTTTGAGAGCTTCAAATGATACAAACAGCGGCATGTGTGCTGGAGGTTTGCTACCACTGCCATAGAGGGACAAAGTATGGGAATCTGAGTGAAGGTACAGACTAAGGGAAAAACTTCTATGAAAAGACCCTACACAAGAGGTTTTCCTGCTCATTTCAAACATATTTTGGCAGTGGCTAGGGATGTAGCATGTATGCCCATGGTCCTAGGTTCAACCTCCAGAATCATAGAGTGGGGGAAGGGGAGGGGAGGGGGGGGAAGGAGAAGAATAGAGAGAAGAGAAGAGAAGAGAAGAGAAGAGAAGAGAAGAGAAAAAAAAGAAAAGAGAACAAGGTCTGAGTGGAAGGAAGGGAGGGAGGGAGGAAAGATGACGACACAGACACACATACACACATATACAGAGGCCGACACAGTAAGACAGCACATTTGCACATTTAGCATGTTAAATAGTAGTACAGTCTACAAACCTAGTTGGACTTTAAGAAGTCCAATAATTTAAGTGCTCTATGCCTGGCTGGGAGTGGTGGCGTACCCTTGTAATCCCAGCACTTGGGAGGTTGAGGCAGGGGCACAGTGAGGCAGTGAGTTCAAGGCTAGCCTAAACTACACTGTCTCAAAAAAAAAGTTCCTCTTTACTACAGGTAAGTAAAACAGCAATGACCTTTCCTCTACAATCCCTGCAGTCCAGCGATCCTTCCCTACTCTGCTTGGTCTATTACTTGCAGAAGCACAGCTGGCCTTTAGAGAACACCTCTGAGAGTTACTCCCGCTCTGCCCATTCCTTTCCAACCCAACACTTCTATATATTCATTTATACTATACAGGCTACAATCCATATTTTGCAGACTTGTTTTTAAATTTTACATCATTTTAGAATTATTCCTAACCAAGTAGATTCTATAAAAGCTACCAACGCAAAAACCCACTAGAGTGGATTTAAAGGCAAAAACCCACTCTTTAGTGTGGGTTCTGTTTTGTTCTGGTTTTTTTTTTTTTTGTTTGTTTGTTTGTTTTTTTGAGACAAGGTCTCAGTTATGTAGCCAAAGCTGGTCTCAAACTTGCAGCAATCCTCCTGCCTCAGCCTCCAGAGTGCTGGGATTACAGACATGCATCACTAAGCTCATCTGTTAAAGGATTTTTTTTTTTGTAGTAAGCAAATTACTTTGACTTTTTAATTTATTTTGCCTTGCCATTCCTGGTTTTAAAGCCCTACAATTCTTCCTTCCAAATGATCTATGGACTGTGAAGAAACTTAAAATGATACTAAAAAGTAAAAACACTTACTAGAGCAGAAGAATTGTGTTGTACTGCTACCCAGAGTGTGTGTGTGTGTGGTGGGGGAGAAACGGCAGTGATGGTTCCTCCATCCTGAGAGCTTAGGATCTATATCAACTCATCAGTCATTTCAAAACTTATGCACAGTATCTGCACACACATCCCATTTCAGCCTTACTCCAAGTCTATCAAGCACTGCCCTCATTTTAACTAGATGAGGATGGTGACACTGTTACAGTAGCTGACTTGTTCAAGACTACTCAGCTGAAAAAGTTGACATTTTTAGAACTTAATCTCTCCTCCTTTAAACCAAGGCCAAAGCCCTTCCTGATAACATCACATAAAATTCAAATCCGAACCACAGAACTGCTTAAAATCAACTTATTTCATTAGCCCTGCAACTACAGATAATACTTGAAGTCATTTTTACTTCATATCTTCTGGATATTTTGATAACTGACATTCTATTTATTTTCTTTTTTTCTTCTTTTTTTTTTGGAGACAAGGTCTCACTATGTAGTTCAGGTTGGCCTTGAACTCATTTTGTGGCCCAGGCAGGCCTCAAATTTGTGGCACTCCTGCCTCAGCCTCCCGAGCACTGGGATTACAGGTGTGCACCCCCATATCTAGCATTATTTTCTATTCGTGATGCACTCCATCACCTTATGGCAAATCAGAACACTCTAAAATTTAAGGGCCCTAAAAAGCAACAAAAACAGTGCTGTACTTAAATTGAAAACTTGCACATTTCAGGACTGATTGAAATATACAGAAAAGAGAAGCGACAAACTGACCATTAGCCAATAAAATATTTACACATTACTTCTTTTTCCTAATTTGTTTCTTGAGACAGGGTTTCCCTTTGCAGTTCAGGCTGGTCTAGAACTCGCTGATCCTCCTGCTTCAGCCTCCTGAGCGCGGGAATGACAGGCATGGGCCACCACGCCCGGCTCGCACATTACTTCTTACATACACTCAGAGCAGATCTAGGGTAGCAGGTAGCTACCTAGCTTTTTGCTAAGAAACTCTGCTTAGTTAGGAAGGGATATGTGTCAAAGATCAGCCCATGGCAAATCTCGCTAAACCTGTCATAACCTAAGCAGATGGACTCAGGCGAATACTCACACAGGCAATTCGGTGTCTGACCCTCGGCTAGAATCGTGAATCGTGAATCGTGAAGAAAACACTTAACTATGCCAAACGTACATTTTTCCACGCACAGGAGAGGGAAAAAAGAAGGCAGGAGAAAACACGGGGTCAGACACAGGACGTCAGGTACGCTGGGAGGAGCCCCGAACGAGGAGCCTGGGGACCTGGGCCTGGCGCTCGCACCTGCTAGCTTCGGGGCCTCGCAGGGTCTCACCCTCGAGTCTACAGCACGAGGATGATCATCGCGGGCGCCCTCCCACCGGCCTCACCGAGGACTGACGCTCATCCGGCAGGGGACACGGCGGGGATCACACACCGGAGCCCAGACCCCGCAGCTGCAAGCCTCCCCGGCGGAATGCCGCCGAACTCCACACCCGAGGCCGGCAGCAGATGCTCAGACCCGGCCGAGGCGGCCCGTCCCCGCCCAGAACCAGTCCCGCGGCCCCACAGAACCGCCTGCGTGTCACTTCCCCCCCATCCCGCCGAGGCCGGCCTCCGGCCCGACCCTCTCCACCCACCGCCCCAGTTCCGTCGACACGCCTGACCCTCCGCCGTAGCCCTCTGACTCACAGCCCGAGGGGCTCCTTCAGCGGCAGCGGGCGGCTTGGACCCTCCTCAGCACAGACCAGCAGCACCCCTGACCGCCAGCTACTCACCGGATGTGCGTCACACCCTTTCCTCCTAGACTTCCGGGCGCACGCTTGTCCCGCCCCTAGCGTCTCGCCGTTCTGCCCAGGTACCGCCCTACCGGGGACTCGGCCGGCAGGGGAGGGGGAGGGGGGCTAAAGTGTGACGTAAGGCGCTTGGGGGCGGGTCCCGGCACCCAGCTCTCGTGGAGCCTGCGGGCCGCGCGAGACGTGGCAGCGCCAGGTCGGCGGTCGCGGATGAGGTCCTAGGATCCTGCGGCAGTGGTGGCGCTGGGTACCGGCGTTGCAGGTCTCTCTGCGTCCCGGGACGCACCTGGAGAGACAGAAGGCGCCGTAGCCGCCTTCTAGGAGACGCGAGCTGATCCTGGGCCCGATGATCTCGGCTGGAGGTCACCAAGCTAATGGAATGAATTAAGTCACATTGTCCTGCCCAGGGATAGCCTAGTTTTAGAAAAACAGCTGATATTCATTGAGCACTAAGGTTCCAGACGCTGAGCTGGGCCCTGGGAGAGCTTCATCTCATTTAAGCCTCATTTCGGTCGTTTGAAGCAGATACTTTATCAACTCAGTGGTACACATAAAAGAACCGAAGTTCACGTTAAATAACCAAGCCTGAACACAGCTAAGTGGCAAAGAACATATTGTCCCTAGCATACCGTGCTTCTGATGCATATCCTCACTGGATTCTGAGAACAGCCCTGTGAGGTTGGTATCATTATCCATATTTCATAGATAAGAAAACATTCCAGTAGAAAGATGATGCTTTTAGATAGAAAGATTCATTAACATGAAAATCTCAGTTATCCTTCAGGGAAATTAGAATTTTGGGGCATGGTGGCCCACACCTGAAATCCAGCATTCTGGGAGGCTGAGACAGGAGGAGGATCACAAGTCTAAACCCAGTTTGGGCAACTTGGTGATTTGGGGAGACTTGTCTCCTAAATAAATAACCAACACTTTAAAAATGTGTCTAGGAATAGCTCAGTATGAAGGTCTGGGTTCAATCTCCAATACTAAGGAGAAAAATAGAAATTTATCATAATTCCAACAACAGAACTAAAAAAATTAATTTGTGTGTGTGTGTGTGTGTGTGAACCCACCCTGCTTGTTTCTAACATTTACATGGAAAAATAAAACCAATCAGAAAATAAACCAGCTTTGCAAAAGAACTAGGAGCGGCAAGCTAGCACAATCAAATATAGCACTGTGGAGCCTCCATATTAACTAAACTGGTGCACAAAAAGCCAAGCCAATGGAACAGAACAAGTGCAGAAATAGACCCAAGTACATGCAGAAAGAAATTAACATGACATCTGGCACTGTGGCAGTCCTCAGAGGGTTTGGTGGACTAGCTCGCCACTTCTGCCCCTCTTTCATCCTGTGGGTCTTCTCATCAGCTTTGACCAAACCAGGGGCACTGTGTCCATGGGACTTGGAACCCCAGCGTCTGCGGCCTGGAGGTGCAGGTCTCTCCCTGTCCCCAATAACACATTGGATCACTGGCTGTGAAGGGAGCCTGCTTGCAACAGTAGGGAAGCTCACACCTTGCATGTGACTTGAGCAGCTGGGGAGGAAGAAAAACGTGCAGGGCAGATTCTCACGAAAACTGCAAGCTCTGCTCACCAACTTGAGTGGGGTGACAAATGCTCCACTTTCCCCATAAGCACCCCAAAAACAAGCAAAACAAGCATTATTGTGCATGTAAAGCTATTTTCCCAGAGTGTTTTCAATAAATGTTGCTATTATGTCTTATTTTTTAAAAAAGGTTGAGACAGCTTAGGTAGTCAAAAATGCAATTGTGTGTATGTTTTATTTTTGGTTTTATTTTATTTTGACAGTACTGGGAATTGACCCCTGGAAGTGGTGAGCTTCCTTTTTTTATTTCAAACAATCGTTCTTTTACTTTTTTTTTTTTCTTTTGAGACAGGGTTTCACTCTGCAGTCTAAGCTGGCCTTGAAGTTACTATGTAGCCCAGGTTGGTCTCAAACTCACAGAGATCTTCCTGCCTCGCCCTCCCATGTGCTGGGATTCCAGGCATGCACCATCACGCCTGGCCTTCAAACAAGTGTTGCTGTGTAACCCAGGCTCACCTCAAACTCACTATCCTGCCTCAGCTTCCTGAGTGCTGCTGGGATTACAAGAGTGAGTCACTACATACAGCAAATGGATGGTTTTTACAGAGAATAAGAGTGCATAACTTTAGAACATTTGATAAATATTGAGATTACCGCCACCGTCTTCTTCAGCCTTCCTTCCTCTCTCCCTCCCTCCCTCCCTTCCTGGAGGGGCCTTCAATGTCTTCACCTTATTGCTTAAGACTCGGGCTAAGCAAAATCTCCACAGTCAGCCTCCCATGTTGTGCTTCTGCTTCCTCCCGACCATTGTAATACCTGTCGTGTTCATGCAGTAATATTTTTAGGGTACTGGGTTTACTGAGATGTAATTCATATAGTATACAACTCACCCCTGCCTTTGGAGTATTGGGTATTGAACACAGAGACTTCACACTGAGCCACATCCCCGGCCCTTTGAAATTTTGTTCTGCTTCGTTTTGAGACATGTCTTTCTGTGTAGTTCAGGTTGGCCTTGAACTCCCAGTGATCCTCCTGCCTCAGCCTTCCAAGTGCTGGGATTATAGATGTATGTGCCTCAGTGCCTAGCAAAATTCAAAGTGCCTAGCCATTTAAAGTGTAAAATTCAATTTTTTTTAGTATATTCACAGAGTCTTATAACCACAACTATCATCAATACAGAATATCTTCACCATCAGCCCCCCAAAAAACCTATTTCAATCACTCTAAATCGTCACTCCTCCCCGCTGCCTCCAGCAACTACTAATTCCTTCTCTGTCTCTGTAGCTTTGCCTATCTATTCTAGATTTCATGTAAATAGAAACTATGTCATACGACCTTTTGTTTCTGGCTTCATTCACTTAACATCACGTTTTTCAAGTCTCATCCATGTCATACCATGTACTAAGACTTTACTCCTTTGATGGCTGAGTAATATTCCATTGTATGTGTCTATCACATTTTATTGATACATTTGTCAATTGATGGATTATTTAGAGTAGTTAACATTCTTTGGCTGTTCTGAATCACATTGTCACATGTGTACAGTTTTTGTTTGAACATGTGCTCTCTTGGGTATATAATTGCTGAGCTGTATAACTCTTAATCATTTGCAAAATTGCTAGTTCCCAAAGTGGTTGCACTATTTACATTCCCACCAGCAATGTAGGAGGTTCCAGATTCTTCTACAATTTTTTACGGTAAGTTATGATTTAGATTGAAAGTGTCCCCTGAAAGTCTCTTGTGTTCAGGGGTGGGGCTTACAGAAACTGATTGGCTCACAGGGGGCTCTAACTTCATCGAGTGGATTAATCCATTGATGGATCATAATTTGGCAGCATTACTGGGACATGATAGAAGCAGCAGGTGGAGACTTGTTGAAGAGAGCAGCATATGGGGCCCCAACCCTCTCTGTGGTCCCCATCCACTCCCTCTCTGGCTGTTTGTCCCTCTCTTTGCTCCTGGCTTCCTTGTGGTGTGCAGCTCCGTAATTCTCCCTCACCTCCAGCCCACAGCAATGGAACCAGCAACCATGGACTGTCACATCTGACATTGTGAGTCAGAATACACCATCCCTCCTGTGCATGTCAGGTGTTTTGTTCCCACAACGAAAAGCAAATGAACACATCTCTTCAGTAGTGATCTCCCGGAAGGCAGAGTGTGAACTTGTATTTCGCCATTCCAGTTCTTAGTTCAGTGCAGCATCAGTAAACTTGTAACATGTTTATTAGATGTCACAATGCCTGTCAAATCCAGTCCACTAATGGTGGTGGGTCAACAGGAGGCAGTACTCAGAGTAAGGAGGTCCCATAGGAGAAGTTCAGTATTGGCCAGGAATCCAGCAAATCTCCCCCTCGCCACTCCCAGGAGCTACTAGAAACACAGCCTCAGATTCCACTGGTACCTAGGAAACTGGACTCTCTGGGGTGGGGCCCTGTAGTTGGCTTTAACAAGCCCTGAGCTAATTCTGGTGCACACTGAAGTTTCAGAACCACAGGTTTATAGCATTCTTTTGAGGGTTGATTAGGCGTTCCTAGGAGGGGAGAAGCACATTAAATAAACTAAGATTTGTGTGTGCAAGTGCGTGCGCACGCACAACTGAGTTGCACACCCAGCCCTTTGCTACTATTTTTATTTTTATTTATTTATTTAAATTTTTTTTTTTTTTGGTCTTTTTGAGACAGAGTCCCTCTATGCAGTTCAGGCTGGCCTTGAGCTCACTTTGTAGCCCAGGCTGGCCTCAAAGTCACAATGATCCTCCTGCCTCAGCCTCCCAAGTGCTGGGATTACAGGCATGCGCCACCACAGCTGGCTTATTATTTTTATTTTGAGACAGGGTTGTTAGCAGGGTCCTGGGGTGCCACTGCAGCTTGAATGGGCACTGCACTGGGACTCCTGTTTTTAATTAGATCCATACTGTGGGTCGTCTTGCTAGGGCTATGGCTCTCGGGCTCTTTGCAGTCTACCTCCTATACCTCTTCGCCGTGCTTTCTCCTGCAAAGGAAGTGTGGAAACTAATTGCTAGGTCTGTCATAGCCCATGTTTTTAGACAGACCAGGAAACATTCTGGCCTATTCGTTCTCCTATTTAGGCTCTGCATCCTCAACCTAATACTGTAGTAGACTTTGTCTGTTCAAGGCTTCAGACGGTGACCCAGACTGCAGCCCATGACTCCTGACAAATTCACCAGGCTTCCTCCCATTGAATGGGCAGTTCAGTGGTTCTTCACATACAGGCCCTGACTCCTTTCTTACCACTGCCTCCTGCTCCTCCTTCTTCTTCTCTTTCTTCTTCCTTTTTTTTTTTTTTTCTTCTGGTACCGGGAATTGAACTTACGACCTTGCTCTTGCCGGGCAGGCGCTGTGCCGCTGAGCTAAATCCCCAGCCCCCTAGTCTTTTTGAGACAGGGTCTCGCTATGCATTTCATGCTGGCTTGAACT